TGTCGAGTATGGCTTTCACTTTGTCTCCGTTTACCTCGATTCCTCGTTCTGTGACAACATATCCCAAGAATCGTCCTGCTTTCACTCCAAAGGCGCATTTACTCGGGTTCAGCTTCATACCAAACGCCCTAAGGGTGTTGAAGGTTTCCCTTAAGTCGTCTGGGTGTGAAGTCGAGGATTTGCTTTTCACCAGGATATCGTCAACGTACACCTCCATGTTTCGACCAATCTGGGGTTTGAACATTCGATCCATCAATCGCTGGTAGGTTGCTCCCGCATTTTTGAGGCCAAAGGGCATGACAACATAACAATACGTCCCCTTACTCGTCACGAAACTTACTTTACTCTGATCTTCCGGAGCCAGAGGGATTTGATGATATCCCTGAGATGCGTCCATCATGCTCAACAATTCGCAACCAGCCGTGGAGTCGACTAGCTGGTCGATTCTCGGCAAAGGATAATGATCTTTAGGACAAGCCAGGTTTAGATCGCGAAAGTCGATACACATACGCCATTTGTTCAATGCCTTCCTCACCATGACCGTGTTAGATATCCATTCGGGGAATTGGATCTCCTTGATATGTTTGGCCTTCAGCAACTTGTCCACCTCGACTTCGATTGCTCTGTCGATTTCAGCGCCGTGGTGCCTGAGTCGCTGCTTCACAGGTTTTCTGAGGGGGTCGACATTGAGTTTGTGCTCCATCACTTCTGGGTTGATTCCGGTTAGTTCTTCCGGTGAGAAAGCGAATATATCCCTAAATTCTTTCAACAATCCCACCAATTGTTCTCGCAATTCGTCTTCTAATTCTCTCCCGACTTTGGTGGTTTGTTCTTTCGACTCTCCAATTTGAATCTCCATCAATTCTCCATGAGGCTCGAGGTCACTCCCCCTCGGCCTTTTCTCGCTCGCCATCGGCTTCTTGCCCTCCTTGACCTCAGCTCGCTGATTGGTTCTGACTGCGATTTGGTAGCATGTTCTTGACAACTTTTGATCTCCTCGAGCTTCTCCCACCCGATCTCCTACGGGAAACTTCAGCTTCATATGATAGGTCGACACCACTGCTTGAAATGCATTGAGCGCTGGTCTTCCCAGAATCACGTTATAGGCCGATTCGACATCAACCACGACAAATCTCACCATTTTGACTTTCCTCAAGTCACCTTCCCCTAGGACGACAGCGAGCATGGTTTCTCCTAGGGGAGCGACTTCTGAGCCATTGAATCCGAAAAGTGATGTATGTAGGGGCGTTAGTTCAATGTCCAGCTCCATTCTTCTGAGGCAGTCGTAGAAAATTACGTTCACAGAACTTCCGGTGTCGACAAACACCCTCTGCACTTCGTACCCCGATATCTGTGCTGTTATCATCAGGGCATCGTTATGCGGCCTCTCGACCTCTCCAACATCCGCCGGTCCAAAATTCATCACTGGCCCACTCTCCTCGACTTGTTGAACCTCGACTTTCGCGTATCGGCCCCGAGCATAGGCCTTTCTCGCTCGATTGGAGTCTCCATCAGTCGATCCTCCAAAGATCATGTTAATGACTCCTCTTTTTGGTGGGAGTTCTTCCTTTTCCGGCGATCTCGCCCTCTTGCGAGGACTCTTGCTCCGTTCTCGTCTCCTATTCGTCCTCTCCCGGTCCTTATATATAAACTCCTTCAGGTGACCTGCTTTTATCAACCTTTCGATCTCGTCTTTCAGGTGTCGACAGTCGTCAGTGTTGTGCCCATAGTCTTTGTGGAATCGGCAGTATAAGTTGCTTTTGGGCTTCAAAGGTCCATCTTTCCTCGTCCGCGGCCATCTCACCACATCGTCGCGGATTTCCCTCTCCATAACCTCCAAAATTCTCGCATGGGGAGCCGACAAAGGTGTGTATTGAGTTGGTCTCCATCCTCTAGACCTACCTTCACCCCTATCAGCTTTTGGGGATCCTCTCCTATCTCCTGTCGACTTCTTTTCCTTTCTGTCGTCTCGACTTTCAGTTTGAGTCATCTTCATGCTCTGCAAATAGTCGGCCTCTGCCTCCTCGACGTTCATGTATTTGGCACATCTTCCCAGCACATCGTCGAAACTTCTACCAGGTCGTTTGGCTAAGGAGTTCTTACACAATCCTGGCAGCAGTCCTCTCGTCAACCCTCCCGACTTGATTTCCTCTGTCGCTGTTGGGCACTCGACACATGCCTTGGTAAATCTCGCCACATATTCCCGCAACGACTCGCCTTTCTTCTGTTGCATGCTAATTAACGAGAGGTAAGACTTCTCCTGCACCCTCACACTTGCAAATTGATTAAGGAAACTCGAGCTGAACCCATCAAAGTCCCGAATCGACCCCGCTGGCAACTGATGGAACACGGCCATATTTTCAAAACTCCTCAAATGTCGAGATGGATCTGTGGTTCCGTCATACCATATGTTCAACTCTCTGAAGCCTTTGGGTAAATCGGCTCTTAGGATCTGCTGTGCGAATGGATGTTCTTTGGTTCCCCTGCTCTTTCTCCCGTCGACTCTAGCTTGCAAGTCGCGAACCTGCGCCAGCAGTTGCTCTAATGTTTCGTCCCTCGCCTGCGGATTGACAGTTCGAACGGAGGATTCTTCCTCGTCTACCCTCCTATTCTGTTGCACATTCGACTGGGCTTGTTGCTCGACACGAGGCTGTTGTTCGATTCGAGGCTGATACTCAACGCGGGGCTGCTCGACTCTAGGTGGATTCTCTGCTCGAGGCTGCTGCTCGACCTGCGCCATTTGCTTCATCTGGGCCGCTACAGCCTCAGCGATCATCTTCTGCATCTCGCTTCTCGTCATCGTCAAGGTCTGCTCTTCGACCTGGGGTTGGATTTGGTCCTGCATCTCCTGTATCTGTTTTCCTTCACGTCGAGACATCTCCGTTTGTTCCTTCTCCCCTCCTGGATTAGGGTTTTGACTTGTCCCTATCTGGGTCAACACCTGCAACTTCACGCCGGTTGGAGTAACAGGCGTCTCTCCGCCCAACGTCAGCCCGGGTGGTGGAAGTCCTCCGAACGGCAGCGTTCCCGTCATCTGAACCATGGAGTGTTTGGTAGTGGGAAGTGGTGGTGGCCTCTTGTCCATCCACGTCCCTCTGAAGTCCTCGCTCAGGTTCCTCTGTAAGCTCTCCTTCTCCGCCATTGTCAAACAGATTGGAACTGGGTGTGAAGCTCTTCCTTCCTTTAAGAACTCCCCACAGACGGCGCCAAGTGATGGGTCTACTTCTGGATCTGGAGTAAACCGGAGGTTATGAGCTCAGATCTGCTTGAACCGTCTTTGAACCGTCGCTAGACCGCAAGAATGCCTGCAAAAACTCAACGCCGGAGGTGTTTCCGGCGTAGAGCCTCCGACGCTCAAGTCAGTATGAGGGTGATGAAGAGAGGCTGCGCAGCAGCTATAGGGGAGAGTGGAATGAATGAGAGTTAGGGTTTCAGGGTTACCTCATCTCCTTTATATAGGAATGAATACTTACGCGAAGTGCCCAAAATACCCAAGTCGGTGGACTTAGAAGGTCCAAAATGCCCCTGACGATTCGTCTCCCCTTCGTTGCTGAGTCATCGCGAGATTCCTTCTTATCTTTCCCAATGCGAAGGACTTTGGATATGTTACAAGTGTGATGAATCGTCATCACATCTTTGTTGTTTAGGGTATGCGAAGTCGACTTCGAGATCTAGGAAGTCGACTCGTTGATATGTGCGCATTCGGAGGCTACGCTTGACTAGTTCTTTGAGACGGAGTCGTCTTCAGAGAGCCGTCTTAGTTCAGTCGACTTCTAGGGGTCGACTTAGAGCATCTGAATGACTAGGAGCTTGGCTGTTCCTCTTTCATTGATGTCGATTAGAGAAAACCGGTGGATTAAGGTCGACTCGCAAGAGTCGACTAGATCAATCTCGGCTTCTTCTTGATTGCTCTCGGTAAATCGACCTTTGGGAAGTCGATTTGGGCATATCGACGGTGTCATGTCGACGTGCGAGTAATTCGAGTGGTTCGCTGGTTGAGTAATAAGCTTCTGGACCGGGTTATCCTTATGTGGCCATATCACGTCGCCTCCGGACATTCAACAAGAAACTGCTGCATGGTCGATGTAATGCCCATAAGACGGTCCACCCACTAAAAAAATGGAACAATAAAAAGATAAGACTAAAATTTTTTAAAAAAAAAATTATTGTAATGAAATAATATTAATTAAAATTTAGTAACCAACTTACATAGGCGGCGGTATTGACACGCGTTGGGACCTCGTTCTCGTCCGGTAGCTCCTCGCCCCTGAGAGTTGGATGGAAAACCCGACTGTACCACTGCAGGTAATCCTCAGTCGTCTCCCCGCGATCCTGTGTGGTGGGGGTCAACATACCGGTATTGACCGTCCCAGAAATCGGGAACTGAGTCCAGGCACCTACTGCAGCAGCCTCAGAATGTTCAACCTTGTAGTTCCTAGACTCTCAAGCACGTACTGCACAGATTGACGGGTATGTGATCGTCATGATATATCATGGGATTTGACTATCCTTTATTGTAAAAAGAAAATCGACTTCGTTTAAAAAACAGAATATCATAAATCGAAGTTTGTTTGATGAGCTTATTGTTCAAGAAGTTGAACCTGAGGATTTTGAAAAACATAATGTTTCAGCTGTAAATTGGAGTAGGTTTTATTCCCCCTTCAAAAAACATTAAAATTATGAGGGCGATTTTATGTATCTAATTTTGCTGAGAACCCATTGCTGTGAAAGGTAAAGGTCTACATCGATGCACTTAGGGAATTATAATTCTTCCAAGAGGTGCGAGTAATTGATAAAATTTATCTGTTAAAGTGATTCTAGTTTAAGTTGTCTGTGCTAGTAGTAAAATTCTTATATCTTTCATAGTTACGTGAAACACTTGGAATTTTAGAGTTTAGTATTATATTTCAACTTTGCCAGGAATCGTAGTAGAGTTTCCTTCGTAGAATATATTTTAGGAAATTGGATTGTTTAAATTACACCTTATTAAAAATTTTAAAATGATCGTCTGCAAAATATTCTTGGTGCTTCGATTGAGAGACTCTGGTTTCTAGTTGCATTAAAATTCTCACAACACAAAACAAATTTTTTATCCTCCACTGCAAATATTATTTCATTTTATTTGAACTTGTTCTTTGTCACTTCAAGCAGGCATCTATATGTTCGGCAGGCGATATTGCTGCTTACCATCGTTCTTCTGTTTTTGGAGATGATGTCTTGATAGTAGTGTAAAATTGTCTATCCAAGTCAATCTCCTGGTTTATAAGTTAGATTATTGGTTTTAACTAGAAAAGCAGCTACCTAATATTGAAATCCTTGGTATTATTTAGTGCATATCGAACTGCACTGTGCAAATCCAAAAGAGGTGGCTTCAAAGATACTTATCCTGATGATTTACTGGCACCAGTGTTGAAGGTCATTTTCACTGTCATTCTGTTGAAGCCTAAAGTTGATAATTTTGTTATAAATACTTATTTTGGCTACTGCTTTATGCTACAGGCTTTGTTAGAGAGAACAAATGTGAATCCAACTGAAGTTGGGGACATTGTCGTTGGCACCGTTTTGGCTCTGGGATCTCAGAGAGCAAGTGAATGCAGAATGGCTGCATTTTATGCTGGTTTCCCTGGTATATTCTTAGACCTTTTTCCATTTCAATTTTGGCTTTATAACTTTATTCAAATCTTATAGTACTGTTTTGCATGCAGAAATTGTACCTGTTAGAACCGTGAATAGGCAATGCTCATCTGGTTTGCAAGTTGTAGCTGATGTTGTTGCAGCTATCAAAGCTGGGTTTTATGATATTGGTATATAATCTCTGAGTTGCCCATAGTCCTCCACCTTTGAAATTAATAAAGACAAATTTCAATCACTGTTAGACATTTCTTTCTGAAACAGGGATTAGTGCTGGGTTGGAGTCAATGACTGTTAATCCTATGGCTTGGGAAGGATCAGTTAGTCCAATAGTGAACTTCTTTTCTGCATTGCATTGTAATTTTAATTTTCCAGCGATGGTTTCAGTTGGTGAGTGTGATTGACATTCAACGAAGTAATTCTCAGGTGAAAACGATGGTACAAGCACAAGATTGTCTCCTTCCAATGGGTATCACCTCAGAAAATGTCGCTCAGCGTTTTGGAGTAACAAGGCAGGAGCAAGATCAAGCTGCAGTAAGTTGATTATAAGGAATTTAATTGACATGATCTTCAAATTTGAAGTTGCATGTTCATGTCTTCCCAACATCCTTGTCAGGTTGAGTCACACAGAAAAGCTGCTGCAACCACTGCTTCAGGGAAAATTTAAGGATGAGATAATACCAGTTAAGACCAAGGTATCAACTGTGTCAGTTGAGAATTTTTATGTAATCTCTTTTCTCTTTCCTTCGAGTTTATATTTTTCTCGTCTTTTGTTCTTATTATGTAAGGTTGTTGATGCAGCGCATCCCACATCGGGTTTGAAGGGAAACGAAGCAGGCCTTATATGAGGGTGTGGATACCTTCACTAGTAAGACGCGTTTTGGTGGGTGTGTATTGAAGCCCAGCCAAGAACAAAGCCGTGCGGGTGGCGGAAGTAGCCCAAAGCGGACAATATCATCCCACATCGGGTTTGAAGGGAAACGAAGCAGGCCTTATATGAGGGTGTGGATACCTTCACTAGTAAGACGCGTTTTGGTGGGTGTGTATTGAAGCCCAGCCAAGAACAAAGCCGTGCGGGTGGCGGAAGTAGCCCAAAGCGGACAATATCTTACTAGGGTCTGCGCCAGTTGTGGACCCTAAATCTGGAGATGAGAAGTCGGTGACAATATCTGTCGATGATGGAATCCGACCAAATAGCTCAGTGGCCGAGCTGGGCAAGCTGAAACCAGTTTTCAAGAAAGATGGCTCAACCACGGCTGGTAAGTAGAACCTACATCATCTGAAAACTTTTTGGAATAATAAATGTATATATCTATATTTTTACTCTTTACCTCAGGGAATTCTAGCCAAGTGAGTGATGGTGCTGGAGCTGTGCTTCTCATGAAGAGAAGTGTTGCCATGCAGAAGGGGTTACCTATTCTTGGTGTATTCAGGTTTGTAAAATACACTATGAATCTTGCATTTATGTGCCTGGAAAAACCTTCCTATGCTCAAGTTGCCAAACGCCTTTCAAATCTGTATCTTCAAATTTTTTTTAAAAATAACTTTTTGGTTTTATGCTTGTGCTAGTCGTATGTCTTCTTGGGCTATAAGTATTTTTTTCAATAAATTCTCATTCCCCCTATATTGATTGCTGCTTTGACAAACCTGTAGATTAGTCATTTGTCCTTTATAATCATGATTGGCAAGCAAGTTTATAGATGCACAAAGTCTCTAAATGCCTGGCTTTTAGATAAGAACTTGCAATGCTTCAGGTGTATCTTCAATTATTTTTTAAGAGGTCTATGGTACTAAAAGATGAATCAATTAATATCTTAAGATAGATATCTAATTTCAGTCAGCGGAAGTAATCTTCTTTGATCTGCCCATGCAGGAGCTTTGTTGCTGTTGGTGTAGATCCTGCAGTCATGGGTATTGGTCCAGCAGCTGTTAGATCTGCTGGTCTTGAACTTGGGGACATTGATATTTTTGAGATAAATGAGGTATGTCCTTTTTTTTAAAAAAAGAAAAAAAAAAAGGTATTTTAAAGGTAATGACTTATGCTTAATAAGTGTTGCAAGTATTTCATCATGAATGATATCCAGGCATTTGCTTCACAATATATCTACTGCCGTAAGAAGCTTGAGCTCAATCCTGAGAAGATCAATGTCAATGGAGGTGCCATGGCAATTGGACATCCTTTGGGTGCAACAGGTATAGAGCTGTTAATATAATTATGATGATCGTGATATGCAACTGAAACTTATCATATCTAGAAATTAGTTCAAACGTTAATCAATGTCACTGGTGCCTGATGTACCTGGAGCATTGCCGTGTCTGCTTGAATGCTGAGGTTCTGAATCTGTCTTATTTATACTCTATTCCATTACAGTATTTCCACAAACTTTGAAATCTACCTTATATTTAAAATCAGCTGGAATCGTTAGCCTTTTCCTGTAAATGTGAATTGGTTGGCGTTGAAATTGTATGAGATTTGTTGGAATGAGATTTTTGAAATTATAGCTTCATATAATTATGTAATGGGTTGTGTGATGACAGGCGTTCGCTGTGTTGCTACCTTACTCCACGAAATGAAGCGTCGTGGCAAAGATTGTCGCTTTGGAGTTGTGTCAATGTGCATAGGTCTCTCTCTCTCTCTCTCTCTCTCTCTCTCTCTCTCTCTCTCACACACACACACACACACACACATTACTCTTTTAAACATGTATCACTTATTTTCATTCATTACTAATTTAAGTTTTATGCATTTCATCTTTAGGAACTGGGATGGGGGCTGCTACCGTGTTTGAGAGGGGTGACTGTGACGAGCTTTGCAACTCACGTAAAGTCGAGGCACAGAATTTTCTTTCCAAGGATGCTCGATAAGCACCATGAATGCATAATCTTGAATATGCATTTTGGAAGTTAATAATATCATGAGATAAATTGCAGGATATCGCAATAATCCATCTATGTAAGAGACGTTTTGCAATAAATTACAGACTGATGTCCCGCTTGTATTTTCCAGTCATTTATTGACATTTCTTTTCCTTCGATCCTCTTGGATTAAAGTGGATTAGGGTTTGAAAAAGAATCCTTTTCTTTATAGCCTTTTCTATTCGGATAAGAAAGCGCTCTTAATTCAGTTCGGTAGAACGCGGGTCTCCAAAACCCGATGTCGTAGGTTCAAATCCTACAGAGCGTGATTTTTTCTTCGTAGATCGAATTAGATCAAAATGAATGCAATCACTTGCACAGTAATTCAAATTTGACCTCCTGTAGATTAAAGAAAGGAGAAGGCCAACCAAAACAAAAAATGTACCGTTAGTTAATTAAAGGTCTTAATAAGATCTTTTTATACGGAAACCGTATTATGCAAATTGACTTATTTCACTTACTTTCAAGACACTCTCCATGGAGAATAGCTCTCTATCCACACCTTTTTATTTTTTAATAAAAAAAACACCCAGATGGGGATTAATGTCAGATCCCCAACCTATATATTATCAAGACCTAAATGGGTTAAAACGTCTACTCAAGTCCACCCAACTAAAAACCGAAAACAAAAGCAAAAAAAATAATAAGACAACAGCCAAAAGAAAAAATTTAAATCTGGGATGACAAGTGTTGTAACACCCGCTTTCTTTTTTTTTAGAAAAGGCCAAGTTTTCGAAAATAATTTTTCAAAAATATTTTTTCTTAAAACATTTTCCTCGGGTACTACTAAAAAACACTCTCTTTTCTCAATTTCTTTTCTTAACTTAAGTCGCTCCTTAAGTTTATATGGAAAATACTTTCCAAACTTTTACCTTTGCTTTAGCAATAATCCAGACATAATAAAAACTTCCAATCATCAAAAGTTTTAGAACCCACACAGTCGACGTCTGAACAATCATAAATCCGAATAACATAAATTCGGAAAAGTCTACAGAAGCAAATAAAGCAAATAATGCAAATGTTTGACCACCACCGGCTCTTCGTGTCCGCCACCAGCTCACAGCCTGAAAAACATAATGTATGAGGGTAAGCAAACAACTAACTCACCATGGGAAATACTATGTGGTTACTCAGTATAATACTGATATGAACATGAATAATAATAACCGTCTCATCTGAAATCGTCCGTCGGAACATGGGTCGCTTCCCAGCTGGCGACGGACAAACGTCTCATGTGTACACAATTTTACCGTCAAATACGTGAGTCGCTCCCCCCACTCATCGACAGGAGCACTAACCAATGCCTTCGCTCAGGAAAATAGTTCATATCCACGTTTCATACTGTTGCGTTCGCTCAAGCAAGCAGTTCAAATACATATTTTATATCATAACATCAAGCGATTATAAAGAGTAAGGCATAGTAAATTATAGACACCCACCTTACTGCTGACAATGATGAATGAATGCACGTGAATTTGCGTGAGGGATCGACTCCTCTTAATCTACAAATTAAGGATTTAATTATTATTATAGATTTTGATTCGATTGATTAAACCACGCAACCAAGTAAAGCAAATAAAGACAAGTAATTAAGACAGATAATGGCAAATAAAAAATACTTATTCTTCTGACTCGCCTAGAGTTATCGGATAATTTGTAAGTCTCGGACATTCTAATATTTCCATTGAACTGATTCGGCCAGTTCACACGTGGTCAGACCTGGTTCGGCTCGCTGGCCGCTCGGGTCGACCTGGATGCCGCTGCTCGACTCGGGTCTGCTGCACTAGGCGCGCTCACGGCTGCGCGGTCTGTAGGCTTAGGTGTGCTCGTGGTTGTGCATGGTCACTTGCATTCACTAGGTCGCGGGCATTGGTGCGCTGGCGCGCATGGTCACTGGCAGGTTAGCGCTGGTCGCTGGGCACAGGCAGGCTGCAGGGGTTGTGCACGAGCGCTGCGGCACGGCAAGGCTCACGGGCGCTAAGCACTAGACACACGGGTGTACACTAGGTTGTTGTGGGAACACAGCGCACGGCCGCGCAGGGAACGCTGGCGACTGGCGCACGGGCGCGCAAGGGTGTATGGGGTCGATTGCGTACGGGCGCTAAGCAACGGTTGCGGTCTCTGACGGGCGCGGTGCGGTGTCTGCTTGCGGCTGGCTGCGGGAAATGACTGGGTCGGCTCTGCCTGTGACCCGACTACTCCTAGCCCCACCTTTTCCGGTGACATTTCGTCGGCCATTGGCCAACTTCACGCTATTTTAAGCACATAATTTTGGTGTTCTAACCAAGGCCTAAGGGAGTCCAAAGTTCAACCTATCTGAGGCTAAGGTCCTCCCAAAAATCAAGCAAAATTCTTGAAATCACAAATATCATTTAAGGCCACAAACACTGAGCTTTAAACCTCAGATTTAAACACATTTCCATCATGAAATGAGCACATAACATAGCCTCAAGGTAACATAATTAATCAAGGCAAATCTCACACAAAACATGCTCTTTTACTTCCACTTTCAATCTTTAATTTGAGCACAACAATAAGGTCTCATGGTTGGACACAAAATCCGAATTTCAACACATATCAGCATGTTAAATGCATGATAAAGCTCAGCACATTCACAACAAAATAAACACAAAACCAAACATAACATGCTTCATATTTCTCTTCTAAAAAATATCAACCAACAAAGGCATGATTTCAAACTGAAATTGTAACCACATAATACCATTCATACTCGGCCAAAAATAGGCATAAAAGGCTCAGCAAATTCTACCTCTCTTCGAGTATAGAACAAGGCCAAAAAGGGAGGCTCGGGTGTTGGTGCGAGGGGGCTCAGTCTTGCGCTTGGCTTGCAGAAAAACTCGGTTCTTAGGTGCTGCACTGGCCTCAAAAGCTGCTCTCAGCCTTGCTGCGGCTCACGGCCTCCGGACTACGCGCCTTCTCTCTGGCGCGGCTTCACTGAGCAGGATCGACGTGGTGCGTTGGCTTGTTGCGGCTGAGGCTTTTGAATTTTTTTTTTTTTTTTTTGTGAGCTTTTTTTTCCGAACGAGGTTT